TTTTTTGACTTCTGGAAACTTAGCAGTTAAGTTTTTTTCAAGTTTCTGATCTTTCACGCTTCTTTTCAACCTGAGCCATGGACGATCATGTGAAAAGCTTGTCAGCTTTGATCAAGGGATCCATCCCTTGCTGCACTGTGGGCGATTTTCCAGCAGACCCATTCCAAGCCTGCCAAGCCTGCAAAAGGCTCAATTCGTTCCTGGCTCTGTAGTATGGGGCCGGCAGAAACAAGAAGCCTGAAGAGAGGCTGGCTTTCAAAGAAGCCTGTCCAAGTCTCAAAGGCTCTGAAATCAAGCAAATTGTGAACCATTTACATGAATACAAAACCTGGCTCAAGAAAAAAGAGAGCAACATGAAAACTGGTGAGAAAACCGACCCTGTGCTGAAAACACTTTTCCACGTGATTTTTAGGGAAGAAGAGCCAAACCTGCAAAAAGGATGTTTGGGAAGCAGTCACCGGAAGCAAAGGGAAGCCAGCCTGCAAAGGCCTGCGCAGAGGTGCTTGAAAGCAAGCCTGTGAAGCCTGTGAAGGCTATCAGGTTTTTTGGCGACAGCTCTAAGAAGAGTGGATCTGAGCAGATTGCAGATACCCAAAGACTGGTTTCAGTGTCAAGCTCTGGCGTTGTCCATGCATCAGAGCTGTCAGAGGTTGAGGAAGTGGAAGAACCAATTGTGAAGAAGCCTGCAAAGGTGGGTGCTTCCAAAAAACATGCTACCATTCGCCAGCAGCCAGCAAGGCAAAGGCAAGGAAACAGCTTGCAAAGGGAAAGCCTGCAAAGTTGACAACATGGAGGTAGAAGATTTTCAGAGGGTGGAAAGAGCCTTGATGGCTGAGCCTACAACAAACCAAGTTGTGCTTGGCAGAAGGCCCAAGCCTGGAAAGGCTGTGGAAGATGGAGCACCGAAGGAAGAGGACTGCAGGAAACTTGGAAGGAATGCGCGGAAACCTTTTCAAAGCCTGTGAAGGCTCTGGCAGCTAGCAAGGACAAGCTTCTCCTTTTCAAGAAGTCTTTGGAGAAGGCGTCACCAAGCAGCCAGCTGACTGCCACTTTGGAGGAGCTAAACTCCTTGGAGCGCAGGCTGGGGAGCAGGAAGGTCCATTGGATGGATGCGCTGTCTGCTTCGCCGAAGGAAGCGCCTAATGATTTAAGCCAGAAAATGGCTAGTGTCAAGGATGACAAGAAAGCCTGTGAAGATGAGCTGAAGGAGATTAACAAAGCCATTTGCCCTCACAAACTGTGGGCCAAGCATGCTGGATTGATCTAGGATGGAAATGAATCAAAGCACACTTGATTTTTGGCCCCTCAACCTCCCTTGCTCTGAGGCATTCGCAGGAGAAAGAATTCCAATCACTTGTCTTGAGGCCAAGTACAATGCTGGGCAGGAAACTGTTTCAGCAATGTGTGCAGTCATTGCCTGGAACCTGCAAAGGCTGGGGGAAGGTCAGTACCCAACAGAAAGACATGATGGCACACCTTTCCACTCAAAAAAAGATAAAGCCAGAAATTGCTTAGCTGGAAAAAGAATGCCTGCAAGGGCAGCTTTAATTGAATTGAGAGGCGGTTGGGAACACCTTTGCAAGTGGTTTGGCGTGCCCCAACACAACACCAAGGCTGGCTGTTGCTGGCTTTGCGCAGCCAAGCCAGATGATTGGAGAGGGTTAAGCGTCCAAGAAAGAAAAGAAAGAAGCCTGGAAGAGGCTGGGTGGCTTGCAAGCCTTGCAAGCAGGAAAGTTAAAATCCTTTGCCCCAATTGCCTGGAGTTAGCAATTGGACGATGTATCCAGACTGGATGCATGTGGCTGATGAAGGATGTGTATCTCTAGCTGCAGGCCAGATCCCGTGGGATTTGTTGGACCAATACCCTTCCAGCAACCAATCAGGCAGAGCAGCTGAGATGTGGGAACATATACAAAATCTGTATGAAGCCAGCAACTGGCTTGGTGCCAACAGGCTGCCAAAGTTGAATTTGAAGGATTTCAAAAAGCCGGGAAGGCTGCAGAACTGGATGTGAAAGCTGCCCAGCGCAGGCACTTCTTCCACAATTGACAAAAGCTCATGGCTACCATGTTGGCAGCGCCGCCAAAAAGCAGTACGCAATGTCGCCCAATATTGCGCCAACATGTATGCTGCTTTGGAGGTAGGGGACAAGCTAGCAATGGCTAAAAATTGTCACAAATTCATCAACCAATACGTGATGCTGGAAAAGCATGCGGTCAAGAAAGACCCTTTGGACACCCACACTTGGAGAGCCAGGCCAAATTTTCAACTTTAGTCAAGCGCTTGCTTGACCTAGCCTGCAAAGGCTTGCGCCCCAAAGATGTTTGGAATTGTAGAAATGAAACATTTGGATTTACGATGCAGCAACTGTGGTTCAGAAGGGGTGGCAGTGTTTTCAGTCCAGGTGTGGAATCAGAAAAAGTGCTGCTGAGATGGTCTAATGCACAGCAGCCTTGGAGCCTGCAACAGGCTACAGCAGCCTCTTGCGTAACCTTAAGCCAAAGAGCTTGTAGCCGAAGAAATGAAAAAGAAGCATGCTTGCTGCTTTCATGTGCAGTTTCTAGAAGTCAAAAAAGCTGTCTGCTGGAGGGGCTCTGAGAAGACAAAACTTTTGACTTCCAGAAGTCAAAAAATTTGTCTTCTCGCAACTTTTTCAGAAGTCAACTTTTCTGTCTTCTCGTCGGTTTTGTCAGAAGACAAAAAACCTGGCTGCCAGTCAAAAAATGTCTGGCAGATTTTGTTGTTTTCACAAGTTTCTTCTCGGAAGCTTATAGGGATTGGCCGAACTCAAGGAACATCAGACATGCCCAGAGACCAGCTACAAGGCAGCGGTCAAAGAGCTGAATGCGGTCAGTCATCGCAAGGATTCACTGCGGCAGTATCTTCAAGATCGCAATGTCAAGATGACTGGCAACGAGACCATTCCTCAGCTCTTGGGCCTTGGTCTTCTCATGATTGGCGAGAAGATTCCAGGGCATTCCGAGGATTCCCTGGACTTTGGCTCTCACGCGAACAAGACCTATGGCATGATGAAGGGCGCAAGCTATGCCGAGTGGGTGATCACCACCTACCACGAGTCCGGGGGTCACGAGGGCACGAGCAACTGGCGCCTCAAGCGCTTTGCGGAGTGGCTGATCAACGTGAGTCATCCGACTCCCAAGACAGCGGCCCCAGTGACTCCCAAGAAGACCGCCGGCAAGATTCAAGTGTCCAGTCCAGACATCACATCGGACTCCTCCTTCAGCAAGGTCTCGATGACCAAGAAGAAGGGCTGGAGGCTGGAGGAAGGTGAAGTAAAGACTGTGAAGGCTCCTTCACCCTTGTTGCAAATAGTCTGGTGAGAGGAGCCTGTGAAAGGCAGGAGCCAGCAACATGGAACATAAACAGGAGAGAAAAAAAGGGCTTTGCGGTGACTGTGTTTTTTCATGTTTTACGAACATACATGATTGTAGCCTTTTGGTTCAAGTATGAAAGGTTTTTGTTTCTGTCACTTTTGGTGGCAAGCTGGTGCCTCACAAGCAGGGCACCTAAGAGAAAGAGATGGAAGCCTGAAGAGAGGCTCTGGTATGAACCAAATGAAGACGCTGAAGAGAATTTGGGAGAAGCATTGAAAAGCTTGTACAAAAACACAGTGCCTGCTTCAGAAGGCATTGAGCTTTTGAAGAAAGCAGATAAGTGTTGATTACAATTCAAAAAACCCTGTGGGGGGAACACAAGCCTGAAAAAGGCTCAAGGCACCAAGCCTGAAAAAGGCCCAGAAGAAAGGAACAAACATGCATCAAGAACTTTGAAGAGATATTTGCAAAAGAACAAAAGGTGGGGTGAGTTTTACTGCACAACCATCCCTCTTTGGAACCCCAAACAAAAGAAAATCATACCAGGCCCTGTGCCCTTCTTGCTTCCACACGAAAATTTGTCAGACTACATGTACCAACAGGGTGCCAAGGCAGAGGCCATGCCTGATGAAGGCGCATACAGACGCCAGAAATTGGCTGAGGCATGCCAGGCATGGCACCAACCACCTGGCAGCATGGTCCCTACTCGGATCCATGGCGATGGTGTGCCGATCCAAGGCAGTACCGCCAAGTCCATTCCAGTACCTCCCAGATCAGAGGAGGAGGAAATGCTGTCGGACAACGAGATCAAGATCCAGGGGCTGGAGAGCCAGCTGCAGGCCGTGAAGGGAGCGAGCAAGCGCGAGAAGCGCGGCTCAGCCTCGCACCACCCCGTCCTGCAGTGAGTGATCCTGAGGAGGACCTCACTCCTCCACTCCTGGGCTCATTGAGCGCAGCTTCGGAAAAGCTGGTACGCAGTCAAGCCGATCAAATGATAGAACAATGTTGGCGGTCGCTTTTTCTTCAGAAACGAAAGGTTTTGTTTGAGATTTGTTGTGAACCTATAACTCTGTCTTGAGTGAAGAATGTGCTTCGATGTACGAGCCTGACTCGTTCGCTCGATTCGCGCGCTGCCGCACTGGAACGGAGGGGACATTGAAACTGAACAGGGTCGGTCTCTGGTTTTAGATCGCATGAAAGAAGAAAGGCCTCTTGTTGTTTGGGTTTCTCTGGAGTGTGGTCCCTATACAGCCCTTTACAGCATCTGAACAAAAGGACCCCAGAACAACGCGCGTCCCTGGCCGAGAAACAATCGCATGCTGGGAAAAAATATGAAGGCGCCACCATTTTGGCGGCAGAAGCGGACAAGCGTGGGTGCTTGTTCGTGGTTGAACTCTCGGAGAGGTGTGAAGGTTGGAACTTACCGTGGTTGAATGATTTACGGGAAAAGGTCATTCTGCATTTTGGGGTGTGCAAAGGTTGTCAGGTTGGTTTGTGTGATCACAAAGGAAAGCTCCTCTCCAAGGGTTGGCGATTGTGTGGGATTCCTCATTCGTCATATGACCTTGCAGTGTTCGAATGATCATGAACACGGTAGGTGTGAAGGATCCACCAATAGCAAGAACTCCGGTTTGTACACTCGATCGTTCGCCCGTCGATTCCTGTCTCATTTGAAGGTGGGTAAAATATGGGAAAGGCTTTGGTGGGAGAACTTGTTGATGGCACCCCCGGTCCGGTGAGTTGGGTTGCTTCGGTGGGTCATGACATGAAGAACTCATTGCCCCAACAAGAAAGAACTCCTTGGGCCTTGGCGCTCTCCCCTGACATAGTTCACAGTGCTCAAAAAAATCTGAGGAAGTTGCATTCTGCGACCGGCCATTGCAGCCGGGAGTGCATGGTGAGAGGTGTGAAGAGGAGAAACGTGAGTCCTGAGGTGAGGTGTTAGACCTCGCCCGCAAATCCGCTTGCCCCACCTGTCAAGAATATAAGAAAACGGTTCCTAGAAATCCTGCGACTCTGTCCGGTCTTCCCGCCAAGTGGAGCCGGGTTCAATGCGAGTGTGTGCGGATTGGACTCATCCAGAGACTGGTGAGACCTGCAAGTTTCTTTTGGCCGTGGACGAGGGCTGTCGCCTCCCCGTTGCAAAATGTCTGGGACAGGGCAAGCCTTTGCCTCTGTCGGCTAGTGACCTGATCCAGTTTTATGAAGAACAATGGTACCCCCTGTTTGGAAACCCTTCCGAATGGAAAGAGGCCTTGGAAAAATTCCCTTCCAACATCCGCCAGGATGAATCCAAGCAAGATGAACTTGAACATGATACCGAGGAATATGTTCCTGAATGGATGGATGACTTATCCTCAAGGAGGAAATCTGCAAGACATTTGGGCTCCACCAGTGAAACGTGCCTTCACCAAGACTCCTGGTGTGAAGAGAAAAGAACAAGACTTCCTGATGGAACCGTCCAGGAGGAGAAGAAGAAAGATGGAACAAAACCGGACTCCGACCTCCTGGTCCTACTTGCTGCCGCCTCACGAACTCCTTCACAGCACATCTGTTCAAGACGCCTGCGTCGCGATCGAGATCGATCTGCCTTCAGACAGAGATCTTAAAAAGAAAGGATGGATGAGAGATTTTAGCAGTTTTTTGGTGAACCAGGTGAAGAAGAACCACGTTGAGGTGCTAGAGAGATATCTCACGGAAGAAGAGAAGAAGCTATTCGTAGCTGCAAAAGATGTCAAAGTCAAGAACTTCATCTTGGCAAAGGTCTTTGAATGCCTACCAGACCACATGATGCCAGATCCCTCACAGGTGATCAGAATGCGCGGGGTATTGACTTGGAAGGTGAACCCAGAAACCTCAGCCAAGAAGGCCAAGGCCCGTGTCGTGGTCCTTGGATATTTGGATCCAGACTACGGGAGAAGACCTTCTGCAAGTCCAAGTCCCGCACTTCATGACAGCTCTTCCTCCAGTGCGCCGCAAGTTTTGGATTCTCCATTGAGAAGGGCGACGCCTCAGGAGCGTTCCTGCAAGGACGTCGGTTCTCTCGAGAAGTGTTTTGCGAGCCTTTGCCGAGATCTGTCAAGCGATGGGCCTACCAACAGGTTCAGTTACCAAGCTGACCCGCGCCGCTTGTGGAAGCCCCCATCGAGTGGTATCTCACCATCAATGAGTATCTCGAGTGTCTTGGCTTCCGCCGACAGCAATCAGATCCCTGTGTTTGGGGCCTGTTCCGAAAGGGTCGGTCGCCTGTTGGCCGGGCTTGCGGACATGCAGAATGCAGATTGTTTCCTTTTTGGCAGGACATCCCACCTGCGAGATTTGGAAAGACATCAAGCAGATTCAGACCAAGTTTCGATGGTCCGAGTGGGAACAAAGCTCCTTCATTCAGTGCAGTGTGAAGATAGAGCAGCTCCCTACAGGAGGGTTCAGTTTGAGCCAACCAGAATTCCTGAACGACATTGAGGAGATGTATATTCCCATGGTCCAAGAGAGACTCTGACATCACGGCCTCTGAGCGACAACAGATGCGCAGTGTCTTGGGTTGCCTTTCCTGGCACAGTGGTCAAGTCCATAGACCTCGGGGCAAGTGTTGGCCTCCTGCTGTCCAAGGCTAACTCAGCAGTCGTTCAGGACTTTGATCGACACCAATCATCTCCTTCGTCGAGCTCGGGCAAAGCGAGATCAGAAGCTGATCATTCACCCCATTGAGCCTTCCAAGGTGAGTGTCACTACTTGGGTAGATGCAGCACATGCTAATCGCCAAGATGGCAGCAGCACGAAAGGAATACTCGTGGGTTGCTCTTCACCTCAGCTCCTGTCAGGCGAACTTGATGTGGTCTCTCCGGTGTACTGGGTTTCTTCCAAGATTACTCGGGTATGCCCCTCAAGCGTCGCTGCTGAAACTAGAGCTGCAGTAGATGGTGAAGATATCATGTACTCGGTCCGCTTCCAGTTGAGTGAGTTCCTATAGGCCAGCCAGCAATGGCCCAGCAAATGTGTGGAACTGCGATGAGGTAGTGGACCATGTCCCAGGTGTGTTAGTGAGCGACAGCAAGAATGTCTTCGACTGGCTGAATCAGACCATGCTGACACTTCGTGGCGCTGAAAAGCGCAACGATTTAGAGACTCTATGCCTCAAGGAGGCCACAGAGACAGCGAATGTCAAGATCCGTTGGGTCAATGGCGATTCTCAGCTCGCCAACTCCCTGACTAAGGATTGAGAACCCCACCAGTGTCTTCTGTATTTGAGCAAGAATTGTAGGCGGCGGATTGTTTATGATCCTTCTTTGTTGTGTGGCAAGAAGCGAAAAGCTCTCGGTGTCGGAACTTAGATGTCCAAGAGGGCTCACGAAGATTTTAAACTTTTGAGCCCGTGCGAATTTGACAATTCCATTTTCCATATGTCGTACGTCTGTTTGCCATCTGATCTACTCGAGCACCCTCTGACTTGGATGAAAAGGCATCCGCGCTCGTTTGAGGTTCGCTTGTGTCGTGTCTCTCGCACTGAGGGAATACATCCACAGAGTGTTTTCACATGTTTTCACATTTCATCGCGTATTTTTCCCCCGGCCTTGAGTCGCCAGGAGAACTTCACAACGCCCCGTGCAGTGGTGTCCCTCCGCTTTTTCAATTGCTTCCGCTTGCTCCTAGAGAAGGCCGAAGACCCCAACGAGCTGAAAATATATGTGGAAACCTTGGCCTTCAAGCTCCTTGGACGTGAAGGTATTGTTGGGGATGGTGGATCGGTTTTAGGGTTGGCCGAAATTTGTGCGGTGGGTGTTACCTAGCAAATAGATGCAACGGCCAGGTTGGAGGACCAAAGACCAAACATCGATCTTGTAATGTGGCATGATTGCCGCCAGCGATGATCAGGCATGATCCAGCAAAAAATGGAGCGCAACACAGCGCAACAACAGAGGAAGGCATTGTTTAGACAAAAAATACACGCAGCTTCTGGAGCTCCGTCTTCGGCTCTCTCCAAAGCCTCCCTTGGGGTCCAGTGGAACTGGATCAGAGGGGCTTGCAAACATGACTCCCACTTTTTTTTGACTCTCAGTTTCTTGTTTCTGACGCTATTGATACTCAAGAAGAGGGGGAGGAAGAAGATGAAGATGTTCTCAGGAAGAAGAAGAAGATGCTCTCAAATTTCTTCATTTAAGATGCTAAAGCTGAGGGGGAGGAAGAAGAAGAATAAAGTGATGATGATGATGATGATGATGAACACAAGTCCAACCCAACCCCCAACCTCCAACCCATCACCCAACCCACAACCCAAAGCTTCACGCCAGCTGGTGGAGAGGCAAGTCCTGGCAATCACAGCGTTCAGTGATGAAACGTGTTATCACTAAAAGGGATCCGCTCCGCACAGCTCATTTTCACCCTCACATCGACATGTCATCGCTTTCCGCAGTCACATCGGCGAGACAAATCAGGTTGAAGCCGCACTGATTGAATCTGATCTCTTCGTTGGGACCTCGAATCTCGAATGTGGCAAAGAAAACATGTGACAAAAACATGTAACAAAAACAACTGTTGGACAAGGGGCCCAAATGAAAGAGCGGTCCTTCCACCCATGGTGCAATGTGATATATCTTTCCGCCGATTGGGGCCGTGGTATGGTATCCCACATCCTGACCAGGAGCATATGTGCAGGTTGCAGTCACGATGAGAGCCACTACCTTCCCTGCCTTGATATCCATCTTGTTGAGAGTCTGAACAGCTTCCATCGCATTGCTTGATTTGCTCAGCATAGATTCACACTGGTTGTACAAGAACTCTTGGGTCTTCTCCCAAACATACCTCGAGTCAAAAACCGGACCCTTGACACAACGGAGACATGAACGACAAAGGAATGCTGTCAAGTAACTTCAGTGTCACAGAGTGCCTGATGTTCTCCAAAGTCACACGGCTATCAAAATCATCACTCCTTGGTGTCAGACTCATTCACTTGACGCACTTAAGAAATCCGACGGCCGAGTGACCCCGGCTCTTCCTGCGTCAAATGGTCTCTCCTGGATAAAGTGATCACGAAGCGCTGCAACCTGAAGAAGTACACGGAAACACTGAAAACCAAAACCAAATTCATTCAACACGACAATCATTACAGAATCTTGCAGTTGACACCTGGGCACTGCTCCATCTTGGCCAGGCATGACATGTCATCCAGCTGTCTCACCAGCAACTCAAGCATGAAGGTTTCAGCATCGTCAAGGTCAGACATGGCTCTCTAACAAGACCTGTCAGAACCTGCTCGACAAGGGTCTGCGGAGTGAGGGCAAAGATATGGCGCATCAAACTCAAATCGCAGTATTTGACTTTGAACATGAAATGCTCCTTTGACATGACCGTTGAGGACCTTTGACCTGTGACTTTGAACAGCTCCTTTGACACGACCTTTGACCTCTGACTATTTGAATCTGAATCTGAATGCTGAAAAAATGAGTGTTCTTGAGGAAAAATGCTGAATCTGAATCTGAGATCGCCAACTTTTTTCAACCCCAACCGCAAGATCCCAAAGGCATCATCAAGCGATGCGTTCTGTACAAATTTCCTCGCTTGGTGGATGACAGATTCAGCCCCGTGATGTCGATGCGATGCACATCCATCACATGATCAAACACTGAGAACGGGATGAGGAGGCTGACCGCATCTCCCTCCTCATCCTGCTCGGGATCAAAGTCCCAAGCCAGCACCTTTGATGCCGGTTGGAGCACCGAAGGCAACGTCAATGTCTCGTTGAGTGAGACATCGTCTGCAGGGATCCAGGCGCCGAAAATGTCCAGGACCTTCTTTTTGCGCCCGGCTCGCATGTTCATCTCTGGTGAACGTGTTGGATGGTACCACGCAAACCTTGGTTTGTGGCTGTCAATCAAACTGCTCCACCTGAAAACTTGAATTGCCAAACGGTTCAATGCCTCCAAAGAACAATCCCTGCTCTTCGCCATCGTAATTTACCAACTCCATCAAAACTCCGAGAACGATGGGCAGCGTTTGATCTTTGCCAGCCACAACACAGAAGTCGCCAGGGCCAATGAAAGCCTTCCTGGCAGGTGCTCGCGACTCGTCCAAGCCTGTCATGGTGACAAGAGAATCCTGAGGCAAGTGGCCGATGTCAGCCCCCATCGAAATTGAGTAGTAGATGTCATTTGGGATTTCCAGGGGGTCTGGCTCTCTGGCGACAAGCTGGCACGGGCCCAAATGAGCACTTCTCAAATCCGAAATCATAGTCTCCTCAGTGCATATGAATGAACCCACCCAACCAAAGATCTAACATGTCGCAATAATAATTTATCATCAAGCTTCCAGAGATGGGCCAGCATCTGGTCCATCCAAATAAGCCCGCAATTCACGAAGTTGCTCCCTTGCGACTTGGCCCGATGCTGCCAATGAGGCTTCCTTAGGCCAAGATCAGACAAAAAACTATTAATAGAAATCACGAATCATAGCTACAAATGCCCAAGCTTCCAACTTGTCTAAGAAGTTCAAGTGCTTCGCCTTTGATTGCTCATCAAACTCATGCTTCACCAAAGGCGGTTTTGCCGTGGCAAACACGGCAACGCGGTCATACTCAACCAGCAAACGTGGTGTTGACCATGACTCATCTGACACGTATTGCCTCCACTTGACCCAAATCCCCATATTGTCCACATAGAGCCGGAGGGAGTGGACATTTCGATATCGGTGAAGCTCGATGCCATACAAGGTGCGAAGGTGAGTGAAGTCGTAGCTTGAACCGTGGTGGCTCCAGTTCATGGCAAATGCCTTCAATGACTGGGAAGAGATAGTGGCCATTTCGTCCATTGTGAAATACGTTCGCCCCCCTCAACGATGTAATCAATCTGGAAAAGAACCGGTCCAGCGATCCGTGAGTGTGTCCCACCAGCGGGTATTGAAATTCCACAGCCTTCAACTCAGTGCCATTGTGAAGGGTTGCCAGCAGCCAAATGGCCCAGCATACGCATGTACTGTTCTTGGTCTCTTTCGGGGTGTTGTCGGCCCCACATACAAGCACTGTGGGAGCCGGCCCTCTTTCATAGCGGTACGATGGAGTTGCCTCGTGAGCATTGTTGCCTGAGAGTTGGCTCCATGGGAGGCGTTCTCCAAGGTGGTGGTCAGGCAGAACTCATCCTCACCTCAGGCACTCTGCGGAGCTTGCGTGAAACAAAAGCTGCAGAAAACTGATTTTGCACGTGTCTCCAAGATGCGCTTTGGGCCAGCGTAATGCACACCCACAACGCCAACAACAAAGCGCTCCCCCAGCTTGAACAACTGTGTGGCAAGCCTTGGTGGTGTTCAAGACGCTTTCTGAACAGCAGGAAAAATGACACAGTAGCAAATATTGAAATCAGTAACATATCATGAACGCATGGGAGGATGGTCTTGTTCTGGTCACACTTGTCAATTGACAAGTACCTGACAGCAAGGGTCAGATGGTCAGTGGCAATGTCGCGCATCAAAATCATTCACTGTGACATTCACACGCCCTCAAACAGAGGTCACCAATCTTCTCCAGTTCGCCGGCACATCTCTTGACACCTTGCAATTGCCAGCCGCTGCGCTGCCTGGAAGGTGTAGTGTCTTCCTGGAACCAATCACGAATACCTATGCAATTCAAGTCAGTCAGTCACAGTCAGGCAGTGAATCACAGTCCTAATCGCTTCTTCACAGCGGTGAGAATCTGGAGTTCACTTCTCGGGGTCTTGTCCAACATGTTCTTCAGAAAGGTGCAGGCCGAGCAAGCGGTGAACATGGACTCCTTTGTTCAGCACAAATGAGAAGTCACATGGCTTATGCCTTCCGACAATCAACTTTACGGCTTCAATCGAGAATCTGATTTGGCAATGCGAACCCAAGGCAGCTCGTTGGTCCAAGCTTTGCGAAAGGTCGATAAATCCGCAGGCTTTCCATCCAAATGCCCCAAATTTTGCTCACTCCTAGGTGTGACATGGTGTGACAATTTGTATGAACATGTCACGCATCACCCTTTGGTTTCACATACTTGGATTTGCTACTGACGTTTTTTCTCAATATAGCCTAAGGTTCCTCTCAAAGTCATACTGCGAATGGTAGAAAAACTTCCTGCCCGCTGGAAGATAGATCTGGAGGCTCATCGGTGAACGCTCCCCGTGCGTTTCAGCATATGTTTCGATCCACTGTCTGCTGTCCAGGTAGCGGTGGGCCTTTGCTTGATTGCGGATTGCCGTCCAGGCAAGGGCGTCACTACGCCAAATGCTCACCACTCCTTTCTCGATCTTGTTACGAATGTTCTGCAAGGTTCCACTGGATATCCCTGTAAGCTTTTGAAACGCCCTGCTGCAAATCCTCACTCCAGCAAACTTGAAGGTCCCAGGGTTGTCCTTGACTAAGTCTAACAGCATCTGCATTCGCCTGTCCCTGGGGAGGCTGCTCCAAAGAAAGCGCCAGTTCCTGAGTTTGGTCCAAATCACAGCTCAGCTTAGATAATGTTAAACCTGGGCGTCTTTCTGCGCTTTAACCGGGCCACTTCACGATTGCAGGGTTATTCACGAAGGTGCTCAAACATTCATGGTGTTCACGGCCAACAGCGCACTCACCTGCAATGTCTTTTTCCTTGGTTGCACGAGTCGATTGTTCATGTGTGGCAAGCGCTTTGAATCTGATTACTGACTCTGATTCGCAAGCGGTTTTCTTGACTTGACGCTGAATGACAAAATGAGCCTGAGATTCAATGCCGCTTGTGCTCAGAAACCTTTCCAAACGCAAAATGGATTTTGAAGACAATGCTCTGGACATCGAATCATCGCTTTGC